ATCCATTCGTCTATTGAAGGGCATCTAGGTTGCTTCCACAGTCTTGCTATTGTGAATTGTGCTGCTATGAACGTCGATGTAGCAGTGACCCTGTAGTATGCTCTCTTTAGGTCTTTAGGGAATAGACCCAGAAGTGGAATAGCTGGGTCAAATGGTGGTTCCATTCCCAGCTTTCCAAGAAATCTCCATACTGCGTCAAGTCTTTCTTTAAAAACAAAACAAAAACCCCCAAACACTGACCAACGTAACTCCATTTTTTTCACGCCTCAATTTTCCTTAATATTCTCAGCACGCGGCGCAGTTTCCCTGATCGCCCCCAAAACCATTTCCAAGGGGAAATGCTGTCATTTCGATCGGGATCCATCTAAGGGCTCCTTCTGCTTTGGGGAGTAGCGCTTAAGTTGAGGCCCCCACCTCCTCAGGCTCCTAGAGACCCCCAGCTGGGGTTTGGGAACAGCAGCCGTCAGGCCTGCAACCCGCGGGAGCGCCCAGCGGGGCAGCCGCAGACGCAGAGCCTCCCGGGACACGTAGTCTCCACTCGGTCCATCCAGCCGCTCTACGCCTAGGGCGGGCTCGGTGGCGCTGCGCATGCGCGGCGTCTGGGTCGGCTCGGGGGCTCTGCGCACGCGCGGCATCGGCCCCGCCCCCTCGCTGGGCTGCTCGGGCTCCGCCGGCGGCGGCTCAGAGCGGAGGCTGCGCACGTCTGTGAGTGTAGGGGACCGTCGGTAGTGAAGCGGCAGGTCCTGCGACCTCCTGCGCCCCCCAGCGTCCCTGGGTACTACCGGTGGGCCCTGGAGGGCCGAGGCCGGTGGGGGCCCCGCCCGCGCTCCCGCACGCAGGTGGGACTGAGCCCGCGGAGCAGGTGTGCCGCGCCGGGTGCTCGCGGGCCCGTCGGTCGGCGCAGCCGGCGGCAGCGGGGGCAGCCCTCGCGCGACGTTGACACGACGGTGCCAGAACGCGCGTGCTGTGCGTCTGGGGCGAGACCCCGAGCTCTGGAGCCTGAAAGGCTGGGATCGGTTCCCGCTCCGTCACCTGTTAGGTGGCCTGGGTGAGTCTGCTTTCTCACCTGGGAACGAGGATGTTAGTAAGGACCTCATGACTGTTTTGAAACTTGTAAGGCATCACCTGTAGCGCAGCCAGGTGCAGGTTACTAAGCCCCGATAAGTGACAAGTGCTGTTATGTTTAGGGGACAGTTGTTCTTCTCATTGGATGCCTCACCTAAACCCCACACCACTCTGAGATCAACATGACCATCTGCATTAAATAACCACGTAAGGTTGGTGGAGTCGTGAGTCTAGGTCATGAGCTAGCGGTTGAGGGAGCTCAGATTCAAGGGCAGGTGTGATTTGCTTCTGGTTTCAGGTGCTGATATCACAGCTGCCTGTTACAGGTATCGTGGCCTTTACAGCACTAAGCAGACTAATTTGTCTCCAAATACACAGGGATATGATGGGAAGTGAATATAGAATTTTACCATGTGTTAAATGTATTCTGAAATTACTGGTATCTCTTCGGATCCCTTGGATCAGACAGGTTCCTGGCCCCTTCTGCACGTCAAGTTGTGTGTCTTTTAATATCTTCTGATATGTAATTAATTCCAGGAGTCAAGTTTTTGCTCCTAAAGTGAATTTGTTTTTCAGGTCCAGGTTTCAGCTTCTTGCAACAAAGTAGCCCTTGTGAAGTAGGAAGAAGGGCCCCTCTGTGAACAATAGTTTTACCTGGAAGAGAAACCTCTCTGACTTAAGCTCTTTCTCCAGAGCTTCAGAGCAAGAGACAAGATCCCAAGAAGAAGCAGATCCTAGATTTGCATGATCAGAAGCAGTTCTTGTTCCTCCTGCCCAGGGTGAGCCTGACTTGCTGACAGTGCCAACTCCAGAAGCCACCGCAGACTGTGACAGAAAATTTGGGCCAGCTTTGAGCATAGCAGGGTGAAGCAGGGAGGCCCAGAGACAGGTTGCCGGGGGAAGGCCACTTCATGGCAGGGCTTGTGCAGGGAGATCTGCAGGTGAGGGATGATTAGGTAGAAGGTGGAAGTTCTGTTCTGCTCTCCTGGAGAGGCTCAATCCCTTGCTTCTCCATTCTACAGATGCTGTGTTGCTGTCACATGTCTGACACCACATGTGACTCTAATGAGTTTATCCTGGCTTCAGAGAATCCCAGAATGATGATACATGTGGGAGTTAGTTATATTTCTGACTCTGGAAAAGTTTTAAAACATTGGATATGAAAGTCTCAGAGACTTTCCAAGGGATGCCTAGTTGGTGACAGGAGGAAAAAATAGTACAGTTCACTCACAGGTAAGTCACCAAAAGCATCTCATCAAAAGGGCTTTTAGAGAAATACATCCAGTTAAAACAAACAAAAATCCTTGCTTTAGAGTATCTTATTCTTTTACCAGGCTTTCTGTGAGTTATCTCTATCAGAGGATAAGCAGTATTACTAAGAAAAAATGATAAATGATGCATATGGAGTATTTTTCTGCTAAGCTAATTTTAATGAAAGCATGGTGTTTGATCCTTTGAAATGCCTTAAATCAAGGTATCCTTTGTTTTTATTTCTTTATTTTAGCTAGAAGGACATGTGCTTTATTGTTAAATCAATCTAGAAGACTTAATGTTCATTTAGAAGAAACAGCAGGTGTGAGCCCATGATCATTTCAGAGTTGCACTGGGACAGGTGTGCTGCCTGTAATGATCCTCTGCATGCATTCCAAGGCTTAGATGCTCTTTTAGAGCTGCCCTCCAATGGGGTTGGTGAGAGTTGGGGAAGAGAACCTGGTAGCTGTGAAGCAGGCAGTCTTATGACCCATTCTCTTTATTTCTCCTCCAGCTGAGCCTTTACCATTCCTATGCTGTCCCAGGAGCCGCAGAAAATGAATACATCTCAGGTGAGCACTTTATTCATTCCCTCACTTTATAATGTAACTGATTTATGAGGTTTAGAAGGGTCCATGCATTAAATGGAAAAGAGAAAATGGAAATAGGTCAAGTCAATCTTGATGGGAAATATAGTTTTACCATGAACTCCAACGTTTGCGCTTAGCCCTTGATAGATACATCTTTTCTGGGATATGTGGGCTTCCTCCACTAACCAGTTCGCTAAGATTTCATGTTAATCATGAATGGGAATTAAATTATATTGGAATATTTTTTGTATGACTGTTGGACAAATGCTATAGTATAGCCTTTATAAATATTATAAAAAATATAATGGATTTTCTGATAGTATCCTGAATTGCTATATAGACCCTAGTTGCTAATAAATGTGCTAAATTGAGTCTTACATATTTTCTTAGTCTTTTTTAAAGCTTTTTCGAGGACTTTTATTTCTATATTCACACATTAGATTATACTCTCTTGTTTCCCTGTCTAGTTATGTTATCATCATTATAGTCTCATAAAAGTGGGCAGTTTCCTGCTACTCCTTTTTTAATTTAGAATAGTGAGAAAGTGTTGTCATATGAAGATTTTGGGAAATTCCCCTATAAATTTGGACTTTGTGAGGACTTTCTGTGTGAAGATTTTTATTGAGATGACTTATTAGTCTGTTAAACAATTTATTATCATAAAACTATACTACATGGGTACTTTTATTAATGCAGTTTTCCTGATTACGTTTTATTAGAAAATTTGTTCATTTTATTTATATTTTAGATGTATTTTTAATAGCGCAAAGACTTTATTCCCTCTGCTATGTCAATAGCAGCTTTAAACATTATTTTAGCATAAAAGTTCCTGTTTAGAAAAGGACAAAATATGCTCTAATTGGCCCAGTCTGTACCCTAGAATTTCGTGGTGTGAGGATCTTAGTGATTAGTGTGTGAGCTCTGCGTAATGGAAGTGGATGAACGTGCACCTGCCCTGTTTGTGCGCTTTTCCCTTGCACACCCATCTGACAGTACTATTTGTTGAAAGCAATGTACCTTCTCCCTTGAATTGCCTTGGCACCTCTGTACATGTATGGGTCTGTTTCTGGATTCTGTTCACTTCTGATGATCAGTGTTTGTCGTTTGCTAATACAATGCCTTGATAAGTATAGCTTTACAGTAAGTCTTGAAATCCAGTAATGAGCCTTCCAACTGATACCCTCTAAAATATGGGTGTTTTGCTTTTTTCCTTTTTTTTTTTTTTTTTGGCACTGGAGATTTACCTGGGGGCATTTAACCATTCAGCCACAACCCCATCCCTTTTTAATATTTTATTTAGAGACAGGGTCTTGCTGAGTTGTTTAAGGCCTCACTAAATTGCTCAGGCTGGCTTTGAATTTGCTATCCTTCTGCCTCAGCCTCCCAGGCTGCTGGGATTACAGGAATGTTCCACCACAGCCTGGCCTTATTTTTTTTCTTTCTCTTATACCTTTTTTCTTTTCCTTTCCTTGTATCAATGGACAATATTCCCATTGAATGTCAGGGAGAAGTCTTCTGTATTAAGTTATGAAGGGTAATATAGAGTAGAGTTTTTTTTTGAAAGATACCATTTGTCAAATTAAGAAAGATCCTCCCATTCTCAATATGTTAAGAACTCATTAATGGGTATTAAACTTTCTTAAAATTATTTACTACAGAAATATGTGATCATATTTCTTTCTGTGATGAGCTGCAATATCTTGGATAAAAAAATATTTTCCTGTCCGTGATTCTGAACCCTTAGATTGATTAGCTGTGTGCTGTTCCAGGCCTCGGTGTCGTTCAAGGATGTGACTGTGGAACTCTCCCCGGAGGAGTGGCAGCACATGGGCCCTGCCCAGAGGACTCTGTACAGAGAGGTGATGCTGGAGAACTATAGCCACCTGGTCTCCGTGGGTGAGCAGACCCGACTATGCAGCTCTCTCTACCATGCAGTTCTGTTTTCTCTTCTTTCCTTTTAAAATTCTAATCACTGTTGATAATCCAAAATCCGTCTTTTGCGGAGAAAGACAGTGTTAACAGTTCCCAATATCAACAGTACATTATCTAAGCACAAGTTTTCATTATTAATACATTTATAGTTAGATTCTAAGTCTATAGATATTGGTTTTAATTATTACTTAAGAATATATTCATTAGTTTCATAAAAGGCGTACCATATCTAGTGACATATAGAAAACTTAATTTCAGACAAAGGATGTTATACTTAGAGGGAAAGGAGTGAGGGTATGAGGTTAAACTAACTTAGCACCTTTGGAGAACTCTAACCAATAGACTGGTAATTTATGGAAGAATGTATAGACTCAACCTCCTATCTGTATTTAGATAGTTACCCTATGTATAGATAGCAAAAGTTAGGAGATTGAAAGTGGGATAGAGAGAATATGAATGAAAAAATAATAACAAGGAAGAAAAGAGAAATAAGAGAAGGAAAAGGAAAGTAAGATAGAAATAAAGAAAAAATAGGGGGAAGGTGGGGTATATGCAATTCCTCTATATTATATTACTTTGGTAATTCGATTGTTCATGCACAGTTCTTGGTTTCACATATGCTGAAGTTGTGGAAGAGAGAGAAGAAAATAGAGAAAGAAAGAGAGAAAAAAAAAGTCTCTCAGAACACTGATTTCCTTGTACGTGGCATTGTCTATTCCTAGCTTGAGCCTCTGTGTTCAGGGTGGTGGGTATAGCCAGTGTGAAAGGCAATGAGCTTCCACCTGTATCTCCCTACTCTAGTCTCTGAGGTGAAAACCAGGTGCCTGTACAGTTGTTGTTTTGCGTTGATAGCTACAACCCCCAAAAGCTTGTGGGCAATATTTTGAGTTATCGCAGCTAAGGGTGGGGGAGTTGGAAACCGGGTACCTGGATCAGCCGCAGAACCGTGCTGGTAGCCACACCCCCTTTGATGGGTTTTAAGGGTTGATGGGCTTCCTCCGGACTAGCACACAGGGCGGGGCCGGGCTTCCTCCTCCGGTCTGTCTTGGCTGTCTGTCTTGGCGTGCGCCGTTTGGCTTCCTCCTCCACGTTGTGAGAGTTTAGACCTCATCAGTGCATTGATTCCCTGATGAGGATTAACTGTAGGCAGGTAGGGTGTGGCTGGAGCAGGTAGATCAGTGGGGGGTGTCTCTGGGGTTTATATTTTGTCTGTGCGGAGAGGAGCTCTCCCTCTCTCACTTTGCATCCTTTCCTCCACCACACTCTACCTTGATGTCCTGCTTCACCTCAGGCCTTGGGAAATGGAGTTGACCATCTGTAGACTGAGACTCTAAAACTGTGAACACCAAATAACCTTTCCTCCTCTAAAATTGTGTTTGTCAGATCTTTTGGTCACTACACTATAGCTCTGTAGTGTAATTTGAGATAGGGTATTGTGTTGCCTCCAATATTGTTCTTTTGTTGTTGTTTTTTGGGTACTGGGGATTGAACTCAGGGGCACTCGACCACTGAGTCACATCCTCAGCCCTGTTTTGTATTTTATTTAGAGACAGGGTCTCATTGAATTGCTTAGTGCCTCCTTTTTGCTGAGGCTGGCTTTGAACTTACCATCCTCCTGCCTCAGCCTCCTGAGCTGCTGGGATTACAGGTGTGTGCCACTGTGCCTGGCTCCAGTATTATTCTTATTAATCAGAATTGCTTTGGCTATTCTCAGTCTTTTTTTCTTCTGTATGAATTATCGAATTGTTTTGTTTAGTTTGGTGAAAAATAGCACTGGTATTTTGATGTGATTGTGTTGAATCTGTAGACTATCTTTGGTAATATGGCCATTTTAACAATATTACTTCTGCCTATCTATGAAGATGGGAGGTCTTTCCATCTTTAATGTCTTTTTATTTCTTTCCTCATTGTTTATAATTTTCATTTTAGAGGTCTTATACCTCCTTTGTTAGATTTATTCCTAGTTTTTTTTTTTATCTCTTTGAATGGAATTGTTTTCCTGATTTTTTTCCCAGCAGATTCATTATTGGTGGTATATAGAACAGCTGTTGATTTTTATATATTGATTTTGTGTCCTGATACTTTGCTGACTTTGTTTATCAGCTCTAGAAATGTTCTGATGGAATTGTGTGGATATTCTAAGTATAGGATCATGTCATTGTCAATCAGTAAAAATTTGGCTTCATCTTTTCCCATTTATATTGCTTTTATTCCTTTATCTTGCCTGATTACTCTGGTTAAAATTTCAAGTACTGTGTTGAGTAGAAGTTGTAAGAGAATACCTTCTAGCCTTGTTCCTGATTTTGGAGGAATTTCTTTCCATGTGTTCTCTAACAGGATGATTTTGCCTTTGAGTTTGTAGTAGTAACCTTTATAATGTCAAGTTAAGTTCCTTCTATCCCTAGTTTCTTTAAATTTTTTATTATGATGGGGTGCTAAATTTTGTCAAAGGCTTTTTCTGCATCTATTGAGGTGATCATGTGATTTGCATCCTAATTTTATTTATGCAGTGCATTGCATTGTAGATTGTATATATTGAACTATCCTTGAATCTCTGGAGTGAAATCAACTTGATCATGTGGTAAAATTTTCTTAGTGGTGTTTTTGAATCTGGGTTATTAATATTTTATTCAGAATTTTTGCATCAGCCTTCAGGAGGGATATTACCCTGCAGTTTTCTTTCCTTGACATGTCCTTATCTGGTTTTGTCGGGGTGATTCTGGCTTCATGGAATGTATTTGGGAGTTGTCCTCACCCCTGTCTTTCTTTCATGAAACCCTTTGAGGAGAGTGGCATTGGTTCTTCATTGAAGCTCCGGTAGGATTCAGCTAAGAATCCATTCGGAGGCTGGGGCTGTGGCTCAGTGGTAGAGCACTTGCCTAGCACGTGTGAAGCACTGGGTTCACTCCTCAGCATGATATATAAATAAGTAAATAAAATAAAGTTATTATGTCCATCTACAGCCAAAAAAGAAAAAAGAATCCATTTGATCCTGGACTTTTCTTTGATGGCAGGCTTTTTATTACTGCTCCAATCTCATTACTTGTTACGAATCTGTTTGTATTTTTAATATCCTACTGGTATATTTTTGGTAGGTCATATTTGTCTAGAAATTTGTCCATTTCTTCTAGATTTTTCAGTTTATTGCAACTAAGATTTCCCAGATAATTTACAATAGTATTCTTTCATTAATTTTTGCTCTGATCTTCATTATTCTCTTCCTTCTATTTGGAATTATTTTGTTCTTGTTTTCCTAGAGCATTGAAGTGTATCTTTAGATTGTTTATTTGTGATCTTTCTGACTTTTTTTTTAATGTAGGCACTCAGTGCTATAAAATTTCCTATTAGAACTGCCTTCATGGTGCGTCAGAGATTTCAGTATGTATTATAGTTTCATGTTTGACTAAGAGTTTCCTAATGTCACCAGTCATTTCTTCTGTGAGCCATTTATCATTTGAAAATGTATTGTTCAGTTTCTGTATCTTTACGTATTTTCTGTACTTTTTTGCTGTTGATTTATAATTTATGTCATTATGATTTGATAAGATGACGAGATCAATTTTTAGTATTTGCCAAGACTTGCCTTGTAGCCTAAAATATGGTTTATGAGCAGCTGAAAAAAAGTGAATTGGCTATTGTTGAAAGAAATATTCTATAGATGTCTATTAGGTTCATTTTATTTATAATATTTTTTATTTATAAGATTATTTACTGAACTTATGTTTAGATGACCTATTTATTAGTGAGAGAGAAGTGTTGAAATCACTCAGTGTTGGTATAACGTAGTCAGGCCTTTGTTTTTAAACAAACCTGCCTATTCATGTCTTTTAAATTGGAGAATTGAGACCATTTACACTGAATGCTGTTATAAAGAGATGTTGATTATTTCCTGCTGTTTTGGTGTATTGCTAATGATTAATTCAGTTCTAATCCTTATTTGTTTACCCTTCTAATGAGATTCATTTTTCAGGAGCTCTAGAATTTAAGTTCTTCTGTGTATAGTATTTCTTTTTAAGTATTTTCTGTAATGCTGGCTTAGTGGTCATGAATTATTTTAGTTTATGCTTATCTTGGAATTTTTTTAAATTTTTTCTTTAATTCATAAGAATAGCTGTTCTGGATAAAGCAATCTTGGTTGGCAGTTATTTTCTTTCAAGGTTTAGAATACCTCATTCTAATCCCTTATGGATTTTAGAGTTTGTGGCAAGAAACTAGAGGTTACTCTTAGTGGTTTACCTCTTACTATGATCTGATGTTTTTTCTCTTTAAGCTTTTAAAATTGTATTCTTGTTTTCTGTGTTAGACATTTTATTTATAATGTGTCATGGAGAGGGATCCTTTTCGGATCCCTCTTGTTTATTTGTGGTTCTGTGTCTCCTTTATATAGATGTCAGTCTCATCCCCAAGGTTTGGAGATGTTTCTGTTGTTTCACTGAAAAGCTTATTAGCCTTTATCTTTTCACTTCCAGTGATTCTTAGGTTTGTCTTTTAATGGTGTCCTATTTTGATCATTTTATTTTTCTTTATTGCTGATTGAGTGTTCAAGTTCATGTATTTTGTATTCGAGTCCTGAAATTCTGACTGCTCTGTGGTCTATCTGTTGGTTTGATTTTCCACTGAATTTACTTGATTTGTTGTCTTTCATATCCAGAAATTTTGTTTGGTTCTTTTTCTGAATCTCTCTTTACTGAAAGGCCCTTTCAAATTCTATGTTTTCTCTCTTGATCACTCCTTAGGTCTGCTTCAATTATTTCCACAATGAACTTTTTATATTCATTGTCTGGAGCTTCCTCCAAATCTTCCTCCAAATCAGTATCTGGAGATTCACTAATTGTCAGGGGTTGTAAATTTTGGAAGGGCTCTTGTTAGCCTGCTTCCTTGTGTTTCATGAGTCTTATTTTTGCACATCTGTTGTGATGTGTTTCTCTTTTTTGTGGGAGATTTTTTTTTGCATGTTTTTATTG